CAGCAGTAAAATCAATTAAAATACAATATAAAAACAATCTTAATAATAAATTCTAAGAATGATGGAGAATTGGCAAATAAGTCAGGGAGCGTCATCAGGGTGCTAACTACCCCCAGGGACGATTAAAACTCCTATCCCCCATGCAAACTAGTATGAAGTGTTTATGACTATGGTAAAGCAAGGATAGTTTGCAATGACAGAACTGTATGGTTATATAGAGAGATTGAGTGAATGTAAACTAATTTTATATACACTTCTTTTTCTTTTTCTTATGTATTTAATTTCTTTGGTGTGTTATTTATTACCCCTTTTCTGTGCTCTACACAAGTTGCTTACTCCAAAAGAAAACAGTGTGACGTGTGTGTGTGTTTATATTTATGTCTAGGAATATTTCTTTGTTTTTTTCTTTTTTTTGCTTCTCCATACAACCACAACTAAAATGTTCCACATATAAGACAATATTTTTATTGTTAATACACATTTTGTTGCCTTATGTAGTTATGGGGCAGGATGTGAGAAGTGTGTCTTCTTATAGAACCATGTAGGGACCATTGGATTAACTTTCTCAGTTTGTATGCAGCTGCTGCCTGTTAGTAACATATGAGTGAGATTTGTGATCCAGCAAATCCTTTGACATCACAGGGGAACCTGGAGTCTTTCGTTTTGATTTTGTTTTCTAACTGCTTCCTGTTGAAGGAAAAAGGTGCCCCTGTCAGTCTTGAATATATTAAGACTTCAAGAGAGCCACGTGAGGCACAGTATGATCAATCCAATTCTGAAAGAAACTTGGAGAATGCAATTTAATTATAACGAACTGTCAATGACCAACCCGTCTGATTTTCTTTTATAGCTGTAGCAAGATATTTCAGTGTTTCGTGTGTCCCAGGTGTCAAAGATGTACCAAATCTCTGCCGTTTATGTGCTGGAAACTGTGACCGGAATGACCCCTATGCTGGATATTCAGGAGCCTTTGAGTAAGTGGCACATCCTTTTTCACATAAGCAGTGGGAAACAGCTTCTATAATGCTTCATAACTATTTCCAAAATATCTTTTATAAGATAAATATGCCCTTGACTTAAGCTATTAAGCTATTAAATATTTTTATTTTTTTATAGAATAAAAGACAAATCAAAAGAAAAAAAGGAAAGAAAGAAAAAGAGAGAAAGAAATAAGAAAGTGCAGGAAATGAAAAAGAAAGAAAAAAACTAAAGAAATATATTAATG